TTTTCTCCCTTTCCTACAGAAAATTCCCAGTAATATACTCAGGGAATTTAACACACTATCAGTCACAGCTATGAACAAGAAATTTCTATTTTATATCTTCAGTGGACCATATTTGGTAATTTGAAGARCAGACCATGGATCATAATTGCTGTACACTTCAGGAACTATCTGAATCCCCTGTAAGGAATAGTTCTGTTTTAACCTCATATGGAAAGGCAGGCTTAATAGCTGGCATAATACTTGACTGTTCCACAAAGTTAAAGCTAATTGGGAAAGAATTGTGTGAAAGGTGACCACTAATTAGACCACATCTAATGTTGGTATTACACTGATGAAAATTGCTACTGGTCTCCAATGTGAAGAGATACAGGAAGTTTTATAATTGTCTCTCTGTCAATAGGCAGAATTCACAAGGACTGTGAATTTAAGGTGCTTAAATGAAAAAGCTTATAGTGTATTCCTATAATGTAAGAGACTAAATATTGCATGTACACCATATACCACCTTTTCTGCAGTACCTCAGTTTGTTAGATTCCAAATAGAAAGATAARTTCCCATTTAAACACTCTTTTTCCAGCCCTCACCCTTTCCAGAAGAATGCTTTGTCATGTAGATGTCATTTTTTGATCCAGGTTGTACTTGTAGTGTTTCTCCAGGRTGGTTGTTGATAAAGGAATAATAAATGCTGTTTATGTGCTGTGCTCACACTTGACAGTTCAATATTGCTGAAGCATCATGTGCCACTGATGGATTATATAAATTCTCATCTATTTGCAGGTAAATGGTATTCCTGAGGAAAGAAAACTAACAGAAGCAATGAATTTGTGATCAAAGAAGGCAGCAAACTGTCTCACTTCCTTATTYGTTCTGGTCGATGCATGAGTTTTTCTGGTGTATTTTGTGCATGCCCACAGTATTATGATGCTTTCAGTGCCAGGAGTACAATCATTTCCATATAACTGATGTACTGTATCCTTTTGTACTTTGGACATTTTTGACAATTTGTAAACACTGATAACTTTTTATATTTGTTACATTCAGAAAGTAATCTTTAATGTATATATATACATATATATATGTATGTATATATATATATATATGTATTAATAAATATAAAGCTTTATTCTGTCTTGTGATCTCTCCTGAAAGTTTTAAGAGGGAAATCGAAACCTCAGAGATTCATAGGATTTCAGACTGTTCAATGGGATGATATAATTGCCTACATTTGCACAGGAAAGGCAGTAGTGTACAAGCATGAAAACTTGTGCAACATCATGAGGTTCAGAAATARTATTGCACATATATTAGGTATTAATTTTTTAGATATTATCAAATTCAATGAGCAAAGTTATTTTTAAAAAATAAATAGATACCCCTCCTCCAAAGAAAATTACCAAAACTACTCATGATGAAATTGGATTTCTGTTCTTTTACCAGATATTTATTCTATTTGAAAACTTGTAAGCAATAAAACATTTAAAATCTGTCCATTCATTTATCTGGTTATGTTAGAAGAAACTGTTGCAAATTATTATAGGCAAAAATTAATGTCTGCAAATAAATGAGKGTTAATCTTGTTACTATATACTAACCCTTTAAAAACACTCTCTCAAATTTTTTTCTGATATTCCCAGTAAACAGCTCCAATGCTGTCCATTTTTTACATCCTCCATGTTCTTTTTTTTTCTGGAGCACAAACTGCTGCAGGAGAACCAGGTGTCCAATAAACCAGGGACATGAATTTTCACATCTTGAATTTTCACATCTTGAATTTTCACATCACTTTGCTGGGAGGTGGTTTCTTTGAGAGGCATTTGTCCATGCAGCTGAAAGCTTAATAATAAAGACTCTGCTAAAAGGATCTGAACTGAGGTTTCCATACTTTTTAATAGACAAGTATAATTAATCTCCTGACCCTTTTCACCAGATTTTAAATTAATTTCTGATGCTTCTTTAAATCTTCAAATACAGCATAACACAGGACTTTAGGGTCTGCAGCTGTAACAGCTGACACCAACAGTTCTTGGGGTTTTACCTCAAAGCGTCATATTGTTTTAAGCTGACACTTATGCTTTGTCTTTTTTTYTGTAATATTTTCTCTTTCAGAACCTGCATGTTCATCAGGACATTGCATTGTAAGCAGAAAACCTCGTCTGCTTTAAAATTGCTAAATGCTGGCTGCATTTCCTTAGCTGAGGTTCGTGAAGTCTCTGCTAAGAGAAATTTGAGTAATTTTGAAAATAAAGACAGAGGATAAAAGAATTCTGTAAAATGAGGTCATTTTGTAAAAAGACCAAAGTGGTTGCTCTTGGTTTAGTGGGTTTAGGTTTTTGTTTTCATTTTGTTTTTTTTTCTTTTTAGTTTTGACCCTGTTCTGTCAAAACACAGAACTTTAATTTACATGAATTTTTAAGCAAACAAAGACATGCTTGTAGGCTCGGACCTGAATGCAGGATCTCAACAGACAGAACAAGTCCTGAGCTGCTTTCCAGACAAGGTTTGTGCAACAAGTACAACAACTATGGCAGCAAAGTATATAAGCAATGCTCAGTACATGGTACCTACTTGTATATTGTCAAACCTTAGATGTCAGTTTGCAAAACTGCYCTGCAGCTCAGCACAGCCCACAGGGCGTGGCAGCAAATCCTGCTGGTGGTTAGAACGGGAGAGGTAGCTCAAGCTACAGGCATTCAAATTGAAAAATTAAAGGCAGTTTCCAAAACAGTTGGAATAAAGAGCCATTCCTACTCACTTTCCAAGTGGCATCCATTACGCCTTCCTACCTCATCCAAAAGATACCAGGGAAGAGACCTCACCAGTCAATCAGCCTCCTCAGAGACACCCCCTCTTCTTTTCWGCAGCTTGGATGGTTATCAGTGAAAAGTGAGTCACAAAACTGCACACTGAGGTTTATARTAAATTAAATATTTACATCTTTTACCCAAGCTGTAAAAACATTCAAGTACAATCAGCATTTGGCTTCTGTTAGTTTATACTATTTTCAAATGTATCAGCTGTCAAGTGTTTTGAAACCGAAATGAATGGAATGGATTTTAAATAATGATTTTTAATGCAATGTAAGACTAAACTTTGTAAATAGTACTGGGTTTGGATCATAACAATTTCGGATAACTCCAGGATGATACGACAATCAATGGATCTACCAGTTGAGCTGCTTCCACCTTATTTGTATTAATGTAACAGTGCCAATACATTTAAGGAAACAAACTGTTACATGCATAAAGAACATGCATAAAGAACCAGTTTGTAACAGTGGAGGCTCCACCTATTTTGGAAAGAATCTAATGATGTAGGTCACTTGGGTATTAAGAATACCTGAACTATTTTATGATTGAAAGCTTCATTTATCTGAGGTAAGTTTAATAACAAATTATTTATTTTTACTTATTAAAATTACTCTGAAAGCATAGATTTATAAAGTTGGTTAAAGACACTTAATGGCTACAGAWTTAGTAATAATTAAGCCTGTAAATTCATAGCCTCTTAACATTGTATGATGGCAATATGAATTGATAYTGTATTGATTAAATTGCAATCAAATTAAATAGAAAGCCCTACAGATGTCTTTGTACATATATGAAATGTATCATCTAATAAATAGGAAAATGCAAAGTAGTGAAATTGTTGTCTGTTTATTTTACAAAAGGGTACCTGAACAACATTGKTACAGCTTTAATGTTACAGACACAATACTGCATGGGCAGGGTCTGAGAACTGGGGTGGAGCTGACTGTGCGGTTTGTTTAACTGGGGGCGATGCCTAAATTGCTGTCCTGACTGGAAAGGATGGAGAGGATTTGTAGCACTTAATATCTAATGTGGGCACCTGAACCATGTATCTCATTGATTATAAAAGCAGAAACTTTGGGGATCACAGAGTCACAAAATGAGCGGAGTTGGAAGGGACCCATCAAGATCATTGAGTCCAAATCCCAACCCTTCACAGGACCATCCATAAGGCTCACACCATTGACCTGAGAGCATTGTCCAAATGCTTCTTGAACTCTGTCAGCTTTGGTSCTGTGACCACTGCCTTGGGGAGCCTGTTCAACCACCCTCTGCTACCCATCCTAAACCTCCCCTGACACAACTTCAGACTATTGCCTTCCACCTTTGTCACTGGTCACAAGAGATTGGTACTGATGCCTTAGGATTTTAGCTTTTATATTTTTCAGGTGTCTGTAAACCTGTAATTCTTTAGTGTGTAACTGTAGAGTCCATATACAGCACTGAGCTAGCATTCTCCCATTTATAGACAAAACAATTCCTCTCTAGGCCTAAAACTCAAGGACACCTCACTGTCTCAGGCTGGAAGAGACGTAAACAACAGTGAATATGGGGAAGCAAACGTGGAGTAGATGGCTTCATTACCTKAAGCTTTAATTGGAGGATTAACTCCCCAGATGCAAATGGACAAAACTTAAAAAGCATAAGAAATTATTCCCCAGAGTCCATTTTGGGTGTAGCCCCTGGGTGGGCTGTGACTGCCCTAAATATACCTGAAGGCCCTTCAATAAATATAACTTTTTATTCTCTTAAYTTTGTCTAGCCTTTGTTTTAGGCAGCCCGGATAAGGCATCAGTTCTTCCTTTGCTTAAGGAGCTCCTTCTATTGAGAGTGGGATTGAAGTAGCTCAGGAACAATCTAAATTCCTTAACTCAAGCAAATCTTTAAGACGGGTTTGGTTTCTTGCTGTTGCTAGACCAATGAAAAGCAGAGTCATTTCCTCTGCTTTCCTGCAGAGCTCTGCTGCAGAGTTCCTGGCAAGGGAAAGTATCCARTGCCTCTGCTGTGGAGCTCTGCTGAGGGCCCCCGAGCTGCGGGCTGGCTTTGGCTCCYGGAGCTGTAATTTCATCAGAGCAGRGGCTGTGATTCACTGCAGAGCAATCTTCCTGCATTGCATCTGCTATCGTTTGTGACACAGTAAAGYGCAGCGCAGCTACAGTCAAGCAATAGAAAGTTGTTACTTAAATGATGCTGCTCCCATTACAAAAATAAGCATCCACAGCACATTTATTTAATGTTTAAATTACTTCATATACTTACATAACCTGAAAAGAAAATATATTTATCCCACATACAGTAATAGTAAACAAGTGCATTATTTCAAACATTAAAAATAAATCTTTTAACCAAGTCTGTACAACAGATAAATAGAATTATATCTACAATACTTAAGTTGTGAAGAACAAAACAAAAATTCTCCCTCAAGCTCACAGTTCCCYGTTGCTCATAATACTGGCATAGATGAAGGTCATGCTTGCTATCCCCCACTACGGTGTCCACCTACACCCTTTCCTTCAGTCGCTCAAATSGATTGATCAAGGAGGTTAAATTCCCAAGCACTGGAAGTACTATGYGCACAGAACACACAGCTGAGTATCTTTCCAATATCCTGCTAACAGCTGGCAGGCTTACTAAAACTACTGAATTTGGGGGAAGTGAAGGATTTCTTTTTATTTTTTTTTTATGATTGACTGCTCATTCTTTAAAAGAAAACGTTCACCACAAAAAAAAAAAGCCATTCTTTTCACAAATTTGTTTTGCACTCATTAATGGCTGCAAGATTGAATTCAATGTTTTACCTGGGATAAGACCAAAACCATGCATGTGACAGTATATATGGTTCAAATTAGGATTCATGTTGTTTATAATCATACATAATTGCACATATGCTTGGAAAATAATATTGTACTCAGGTTTTTGACTGCTAACRAATAATCAGGAGAAGAATAAAATGAAAAAAGCAACTAGAGGTCAAACTATCACTTGAACGAAAACCACAACCAACCAAAAATGTCCATAGCTTCACTGATAAGTAGAATGTAAACAACAGCTTATCACTGCCACACTGAAGGACGATTTCTTTCAACTACAGGGTTTTTGCTAAAGGAAAAAAGTAATGAGAAAGACTGGGCACTGCTGAAAAGGACGGGAAAACAGTTTTCTCCAAACAGCTCCAATCTCATTTCACTTGTAATTCTGAGACTTAACCATCKGCATGCAACAAAGATGACCACTCAATCCCTCCTCCTCATGATATCAACAGACTGACTTGAATCCTTTTAAATGAAAACATTATTACAGCATAGAATATGGCACCAGTTCCCTAATGAGACTTAATTCAAGGTCACCTACAAACTCAGGGATAGGATCACTGTTCCCCTAAGGTGTGATGGAGTGGATATGATAAGATTCTGTCTGACTGGAAAAGGTTGGAAAGTCTCCTAAAAATGTTTCATCTCGAACTGATTCTCTGAAAATTATTCATCTGTTTGTTCACTGGAGTTGTACACAGAACTACATAYAGTTAAATGAATTAGTGGAAGAATTATGAAAAGGCAAACCTATTTTAGAAAAAAACCCCAAAATTTTCTTTATAAAAAAAWTTTGTCTCAGAATTCATCATATTTGCTGAACACATCTTAAATTTCTAAAAAAAAACCCTCATAAAATATTATGTAAACTTGTATATAATCTTCAATCACTGAATTGATGATTACTTTTTATTTCCACATATAAAGGGTTTCATATAACATGTACTACTATTTCCACCCAAAGCACTAATTTCTAACTGCAAATTCAGACATGCCCTGGTTTTGCTGTTTCAGCTCCAGTGGCAGTTCCAAAGGCTCCCAGGTGTGCTTGGTTTGTTCCTTGCCCAGAAGGATGCTTGGAACAGCCCCTCAGCAACAGCTCACCCAGCGCCAGCTGAATTCCACAATATGCCCATGAATTGCTCAACCACTGCACTTCTTCGTGTCGCATTTCAACAGATATGTAAACAGAAACAAACATCCAGTAGAAAAGACTCAKTTTCACATGCAATTCTGTACAGTGCACTCTTGTTTCTCAGATTATTTGAGAAGGCTATTTCCACACAAAATATGTACATTTCCACTATATACATTTTCCACACGCTTAATTTAAATGTCTTCTTGTACCTCCAGTTGAGAATTTTTGTTCAGGCAGACACAAAGTAAACCTGAAGAAAGTTTCCAAGTTAATGCCTTGACTGATCTTGCATTGCTGAGAAGAAGTGTAGTCCAGAAAAAAATCCAGCTATGCATAGCAACCTTTTCAGCAGAGTTGAGTTATCTTTAGGAACCACAATCTGTGCTAGATCGTTAGTGATCTGAGAAATCTCATGTGCCACGCACACAAATATAAAAGTGCTGACAAGAACATTAAACATTGGATATCCAGGAATGAGCACCAAGATCCCCTTTGTGTCTGCTGCCAGCCAAATATGGTATTGGCAAATGAAAAGCTGAAAGAAAAGAAGAATGTATTTAAYGATACTTATATATGTAAATATTTTTACTTATCCAAAACCACATAATTATTACTATTGCATCAACTGACACACTTCTACTTAAGTTAGAAGCTGTTTTCCACATGTCTTTGCTACAAAATTAAACTATCAGCCTGTTAAAACACACAGTGAAATGGGTTTGCTCGGTTCTTAACCAAATACGGCTCAGGGGAGCATTGGATAAGTTCCATCAGAGCCGGGAAAAACCCGCCTCCCTCAGTTCCTGTCTCTCTCGTGAGGGTCTGGACTGACATGCCTGCAAAAAGAGAACGCTCCAACTGCTAATGAATGCACAGCTCCCTACAGTTGACCAGCACCTAAAGTTCACCAGGAACTGGAAGAGTGAAATGTGGTCCTTTAAAAAACCCACAAAATTCTGTGCYCCGTTCACACTGTATTGCAATGAGTTTCTCCTATAAATATATTTCAGTAATGCAGTAAAATTTCACATTTAGCATCACTAAACAGCAAATAAAATGGGCAGCAAGATAATTCCTACTGTTTCAAAATATACACTCAATGGGACAAGGTAACACATACATTAAGAAGGGGTTTATTTGTAATGTTACATTTCTTTATTACTCACAAAAAGCTTTCTACGACAAATACATTCATAAGCGTGCTTACACTACTAAGTATAATTCATGCTAGTTCTTCAACTGGTCTAAATTTTTATCTTCCAACTGCATACACCTCATAGCATACTCCAGCATTTAATCCCCACTCTCAAAACCTTAAATCACCCTGTTCCCTGAAACAGCACAAGAATTAAGCTTGGGACTGTGAGTCTGCTATTTCAGCCATGGTTTCCAGTGTAAGAAAAGCTGTAACGCCTAAAGAGGTCAAACACAACAGCATGGTATTTAGTAAGCCAATAAATGTTTTCTCTATTTATGTGTAATGTTTCCAATCTAGACAATTACACCACCTTACATTTCTCAGTTTTAATTCAATGTACTTCTGGTCATTCTACTTACCTCTAAAGAAATTTTGCCAAACCAGGCGAAGAATGAGCTATACACAGATCGGACATATCCAGGAATGTTCCTGATGAGAATGAAAGCTAAAATCTATTTTTTTTTAAAAAAAAGTAAAACAAAAGAAGTGATTGTGGATGACAAGTTGATTACAAACATATAAAAGGTGTATCCGTTTCCACTGCACTAAGTGAAGTGTATCATGCATTAAAATTTCTTTAAAAGCTAATAAAAATATAAACCAAACAAAAATCCATGCACTTTATACTAAATAGAATAGATATTGAAACTAAAAATATTCTACACACATTCTTACAGCATAGCAGGTCACACATCTCCAGTAGAATCATGGCCTTGATGCTGACAGGTGTAACTATATGCTTATTAAACAGGGTCACACAACATGTTACACCATGCCAGCCTAAAATGAAGGTGGCCACAAATCTGAATTAACCCTCAATATTTAAAAAGGAGGGTGTCAAGATGGACAAATTAATATTAAAAATTAAGTCCCACATGCTGCCCCTCAAGAGAGCAGGAATTACTGAGAAAAGAAACAGGGACAGAATGAGAGGGCTGGGGAACAATGGGGCAGGGGACACAGCAAGAGGAAAATCTAAATTTAAGAAAATCTCATGCATGGCCCTGTGGCCCACCTCTTCTCTGCCTGAAAGYGACTACAGGGTCCCACAGGTTGCTTCCTACACTAATACCTCCCAAACACTCATGCTTTCCAACACCTTTCTTCCACAGCTTTCTTCTTTTCCTCTGCTATGCAAGCAGTCAAAAGCTGGATTTGGACTTAAATGGTGCRTGTGAAACCTACACTAAAGCCATCCAGATAAATCAAAAGCACAATCACAGTGTGCAACTTCAGTGCTTAAAAGCAATGAAGAACTGACCAATGTTGTTGGACTCTTTTTCACTTTCAGACACAAGAATGAAGCTCAATATCTGACATTCCATGCTAAAGCACAAATATATTTAAAAACAGTTTTTAAAAAAGCCTGAATAAGAACACACTAGCTTCTATCACTGTACTCAAAAGGACTAATAATTACCTGCACCACAGAAACAGAAGGATGTAGCTCATTGCACTCTGTCTTGTTTTTACARCTGCTAGCCCAAATTGAGTAGGTCTAAAAGATACCAGAAATTAGTCTGTGCAAGAGTTATATGTAACATTTAAAAATTAAACAAGGCTATGATATTTTTAATTGCTTTAGTATTAGCTGGTTCACTAAGCTGTGAAACACTGAGAGAAAAAATCACGTGATTTAARTTCTGTGTTTCTCTCAAATTCTTCTTTGCAACTGATGAATACTTATCTGATAAATAATTATTAATACAACTTTTTCCATCAAAAATGGACAAGCAATCAAGTGTGGAGATAAGACCTGTATTATCTACTATGTTATTTTTATGATCCAATTTTCTTTAAGCTTTGCAATGAACTGAAAGAATAATGACGTTTTCATCGACAGCTAACTGAACAGAAAAATATTCTGGTGAGTAGACAGGTAGGGCTATACAGGAAAACACAGCTGAAATATGTCCATATCAAGATTTGTTTTTTTAAGGTTTGTATTAGATAAACAATACTGACCAAACAAGAATTCCCAGTAAATTATTTTTCAGACATTTTCAAACCTGATTATACTAGGTTGTAATAGATACTTACAAAAAAGGACACAATTGAAATAAATAATAAAACATTTGAAACTCTGTTGGAGAAAAGAGGATCTCCTTTTCCTTCTGATATCATCTGACGTTTCTGCAATGCCAGATAAATAAAAGCAAACATCATCCCATGAAAAACCACCTGAAAAGACAAATAGAATGCAATGAATATTTCATGGCTTTTACAAATAGTTCAGGTATAAACTCTTAATAGAAATGCTACCACATAAACCATTTTTAAAAGGTTTTGAAAGATCCTTTCCCAGATTTGCTGAAGTAGACTTYCTACATGAGGTAATCATAAACTGCACTTTTAACTCAACTCAAAACCTGAAAATAAAGAACTCCTACTAATGTTTCAGAGAGCATTAAAGGCAAGACAATGAAATTTCAAGGAGTTTTCAAGTTCCTACTATCCCCTCCACAAACTATGCCAGCATTGAAAAAGGCCTTCTCCAGGGAAAAAGCACGAGTCTCTGGCTTTCTCCCAAGTTGGCAGGTGACAACATTCAAGAAGCAGGCAAAGCACTTCCCTCGCTCATAGACACAATTCTTCAACAGAGGGTTTTACAATTTTATGCCAACTTCTCATTAGCTGGCAACACGAGGATGTTTCAGGCCCATGAGTGCTTGTGCTCTGTATTTATTCTGAGATTTGCTCTTGAGCAGCACCACACAACCCACACTGATGCCAGGTAGGGTGCACTGGTGCTGTTGCAGCCCAGGTGTGGCAGTGCCCTGCAACCCAGATTGCACCTCCTGGAGACCCCAGGGAGAGACACGAGTGACTGATCCCTTAAAGGGTAAGTTTAGCAAAGAAATACTTCTATCTTAGAAACTCCACTTACCTTTGCCAAGAAGGAATGAAAAAAGACCAATGTCTCCCTATTSTATTCCCCCACATTGAAGGGACAGTAACTGGAAAGAAAGCACTTTGCCACTGGAAAACCATTCAAAAATATGTGCAAGAATAAACTGGTTTGGGCACCAAGACCTTGATTTTAATGTTTTAAGGGTTATCTTGAAAGGAATATATCCTTACTTGATATAATTTTCAAAAAGTTTCATTAATAAAGTTACCACAGTAATTTTCCTTGCATTTCAACAGCTTGAAATGATACAGGTGTTAAATTTTCATGGTAAAATTTTTGAGGAAAAACAGGTCTATGATCATTTATACTTTCTTTTTTAAATCCAGAAGCAAATAAATAAAGCTCCATCGTTTAAGCAAGGCTTTGATAGACAATTGCAGAACTAAACTGAGTGCAGCTTAGTATTTTTATTAAACCCTAGGACAAACTCCCTTTTTCTCTAGAAGAAAGGAAAACAACCCTTCCTCTTCCCACAAAYTAAAGCATACACCTAAAAGACCAGTATAAATTCATGCAAATGTTACATACATAGCGATCCAGCTTCCACCTAAACCACCATTCATAGACATTCCCATTCAGTTCAAAACACTTGGACAATGGCCAAAATGAAAATATCTTCTCAAATGCACCCTGTAAAATATAAASATGGCAAAGGCATTAACACTGATGTCAACTGTATTTACTAAATTTAATATTTTTCTATCCTTATCTCACTAGCTACATGGCATTAGAAAAACATCAGGATTCCTTAAAAGCCTTTCCCCCCCTCCAAAAAAAATAAAAAAAATAAAAGAAAACAGAAAAACTTCTTCACATGAGAGTCTCAGTTTTGCCTCCCCTTAAGGTATTGRCATGCCTTCCATTTTGTACTGCTGACTCAAAGGGAGAGATCCACTGACAGGCTGTGATAAGGAATACACACCCAACAGAACACGACAGTTCAACAGGCTGAAAAMCAGTGAGGGATTAAACCCACACAACCTCCCTGTGATATCCTCGAGTGACAAACTCTGCCCTGACTTCTGTCAGCTGCACTTACAGCATGCAGGGAGTTGCTAATTTAGCCTGAGAACCAATCTTTGATGAGGTGTCAAAGCCAACACTAGGTTTCTAAGAGACACAGAACTTCACATTATGCTAGCAAAACTCAGTAATTCAGAGCACATCAAAAACCSCACCCCAAATCCAAAGCATAGGCCTTTACTACATTCTCAAAAGTAAATTGAAAATATGTCAAACACAACAAACCAATGAGTAAGATATAGAATTGCAGGTTTTTCCAGCACCCACACCAATTCAAATATGAAAAGAAATCAAAATSCTCTTTTTCCTTTGTCTGCATTTATGACATTGGAGCAAATATACAAGTTATGAACATATTAAACAGAAGAGACAGGTAATAATATACTCTTATGTGATTAAGGATAAATATAGTCAGGATTTACAAACCTGAGAATATGACAAAAAATATATACATGTCAGTAAGCAAATCAGTTTCAGCAGTAAACCAAAGTGCCAGAGGCAGTTCCCTGAGGAAGAAATAAATTAATCATTATACTGTCATTAATTTTTCAATAGCAAACCCCAGGACACATGAAATAGTAATTGCCAATTATTTAGCTTTGTAATAGATCCATTCATAAATAAATCCTTGCAATAGAGCCGTTCATAAATAAATGTTCCCCTATTACCAGCAGTAATTTATCATTATCTACATTTAAATTTTACTTTAGCCATTAAAATATAAATTCACAGCAATTAACAATCTATTAAGCCTAAATTAAGCCTTATGTCTAAGACAGTGACAACATACATAAAGAAGAGAATTTAGGTGTTCAAACAGAAACACTATTTTAAAACCTCTGCTTTCCCAAAGTCTGCACAGAAAACCCTAACTCTAGGTGAACGTAAATAAATATATAAATAAAAATGTCATGTGACATGGGGTACCAGTTTTACTCCGAAGTTCAACTGCAGATCATTAAGGRCAAGCCTGAGAAACTACTTCTCAAAGCTGTTGACTGCTATTAAGCTTTACCCAAGCTTCAACATTGCAACAGAGAACATCTGCCCCTCCTGCTGTATAAATTGGCAGCTGTAAACAGGTTCACTGAAAGTTGTCACTGAAAGATTCTCTAGTTTCACAGCATGGTATTGCTCCAAAGTACACAAGAGTAATTTCTCTGTTTCTGGAAGAGAAGTGCCTTTGTAAAAAAAAAAATTGAAGGTATTTATCTTTGAGATATGTTGTAAAACTACTCTTAAAGAGTATTTTTACAGCATCTATTCCTAGTACATATTTGTTGTATTTCCTTGTCTTATCTGCAGGCTATAAAATGGGGATATTCATCCATCAATAGGGAATGAGGATTTAAGGCTTTTAAGGTTTWAAATTAGGGGAAATAAATAACAAACATTTACCACATGCTTTACAGCTTTTCGAAGAACTTCAATGCATAAAATAAACTGGGATTTCACTTCAATTTTTATTTGAAGTATTTGTATCACAAGAGATACTTCTGATAGCTCCCTTAATCTACTATACCAGAATAGCAAGGCCCATGCTCTCATTTGGCCAGCTAAGGCAGAATTGGTGCTTTAGATGGACAGGCACATTGGCAACACAGAAGGGGAAACTCTAAACACTCCCTGTTCACACGGTCCCTATGAACACATGACATTGTCTCAGCAAGAACAGATGAAAACCATAGGTTGCACTATTTCCATTCAGTAATATCACAATTCTGATAATCAAAACCTATTAAAGAGTATTCTAATCTGATTGTAACCAGAGGCAGAGTTTAGCTACCAGCTGTCAGATTTTTCAACTGACCTGATTCATCTATGACAAACTGTATTTCTGCGAGCACCTGTTTGACATATTTTGACTAACAAAGAGACTGAGAGCTACTAACAATGCCATTTCTGTATAATTACCATTGTAGTAACATGCAAATGTTTTTAGCAGAAAAGAAAAAGATCTTACCATTTGCTTTCTTCTGGACAATCTGAGGCCATACAGCTAAGGTGGCATARATGATCATAAACCAGACAGTGACTAATGGCACAAAGTAGTAGAACTGGTAAGGTCGGTCCATCACTATGCACAGCACCACAACCAAGAAATTGAGACGAAATAAAACCTGGAGGGTGTCAGAGGAGAGAAGACAGAGGATATATAAACCGGGAAGCAAAGCTGAGAGAGATGGAGGCATGTTCCTTCAGCACTATACAAAGATATCTATGTATTACACTTCTCACACGCTGATGGAATTTCAACTGAAGCACACATAAAGCATACAGGGAACATCGACAGGCCAATGTAAGACTGCAGGGTCATTATGTGGTTCTGGACCTGTCCTACCCTGGTCTGCTTGGGTAGAGATTGCAATGAGAACAAGGTTAACCAGCTCTAACTATTTCCCAGGCTAGGGGCCACGAATTCCAGTTTCTGAACGCTGTTAATGCCTCTCTTTGTTCACCYCCCACAGCTACCTGGGCTAGCTCAGTTAAAGCCAGGGGTAATGCCATTACAATGCTGCAATCAGGCTGTAAGCAATACTTTAAATAACTACAACGACCGGAGTTACAGGACAATGTAAGACTTAACAGCAATAAAAGACATGCACTAGAAAAAAAAAAGTAAACCACTACAGGACATGCTGCAAAACCAGGTATGTTCCCCAGTATTACTATGTGATGGTGTAAAACTAATTTTTATTTATTAATAAATGTAGACTCCAATACACTGTCTTTGGAAGCCTGCCTGGCTCATTACTTTTGTAGTGCTATATAGTGTAAATTGCTACTACAATGAAAACTCCATTTCTATTTATTAGAAAATACTTGACATTTTAAAGTGTACATACTTGCATTTTTTACATTGTAAGTACCATTTATATGGTTTAGGTTTGTATTAGATAAACACTACCAATTAAACAGATCAGATTACACAGATGCAACAGCCATTTTTATTGTCTAAACCTTGGTTAAGTGATTCATTATCACATTATTTAGAGAATATGGATATATCGTGGAGATTTTGCTATCTGAACAAATTTATTTCTAAAACTAGTAGGCAGATATTCTTACCTGACATACTCTGTATACACCAAAGTCCCCTTTTATCCAAAAATATGAGAAGTGCCCATAACCTGTTTGAAACAGATACGCAGCAACCAGAACTCGAATGTGCATGTACACAGGCAAAAACTGTTGAGAAAAACAAAGTTCCTTTTATAAATGGCCAYGTAAATGTTTTTGGCCTTCCTTCCCCCCCACCCCTGCTATTTTATGCTATTTCTGCATTGCAGTAAATCAGATTTAACTAAGAAAAGAAACACTATGGTATATTTCCCTGTTCCTTACTAAGCTCTTTYCGTGGCCTAACCGCTGATGTAAAAATCAATTTCTTCTATTTATTGCTCTCCACTTTTCATATTCTGTTACTAGTTGTGAGAGATTTAAGGGCTCTTTGAAAGCTCACCTTCAGCAGCTTCAAGTTGCTAGCAATTAAAAATTAGTTAATGTAATATCCTACACAGAGGAAACAAATACTTTTTTCCACTTGTCAAGMAATGTACAGACTGTTTTTATCAATCAAACCCACACTAAGAAAAACTAACTCTGCTAATACCATATTTACAATAGCATTACTTATTCATTCTATTCAGTTCTAATGCCCATTTACACTACTTTTCTTTTGAAATAACATGCCAAAATTGCATTACCACTAAAAATATGAAAAATTCAAATCACTTACAGTGCTTGCTCCAGAGATATGATAAATCAAAATAACAAGTTGCATCCAGCCCTTCCATTCATCAGTCTGTTCTCTATTTAGCACTTTAGTCTAATGCAAAACAAAACAAGAGTGTTGCTATTTCAAAAAGAACAATGAACATCTACAAAATGAGGATAAAAAGTTCAAAACAATAAACCACTTTATGGGTAAATAGGTCTCAGCTGTAAAGGTCTTGTCTAGTGGACACAGATTTAACATAATCTACATTCTCATATAGCTGAGCTCTGATCAAATCCAGTTTCAAAGTGTGAGAATGACTAAAGTGGTCACATGTATATGGCTTCAAAAAGCCTTTGCATCTAATTCTATGCAAACTTTACACTGCTTGAGAAGCATTTTTTGCATATGAGTTATACTGACTTTGAAAAATTAACTTTAAATACTTAGCAACTGGCTATTTTACATAAAATTGGGAAACAAGAATTTAAGCAAGATGTCAAGGTGATCATTACCTCTTTGGTATTTTCAGTATAAAATACCCCCAAAACCAAGATATAGACGATTGGTATGAAGAAAGATGAATGTGTGTAAAATTTATTTTCCTTCATGAAAAGATTTGCTCGGTCACATAGATAAAAATAGGTCATGATTAGACCAAGTTTGCAAAAGCAGTGTAAGAGCATCTCTAATGTAGAAACGTTAGGTGTGCTGATGGCAGGTTTCTTCTCCTCTCCACTTTCCAAATCAGTGCATGATTTGTTCTTCCGATAATTATTCCGATGAATTAAGCTGATAATTAAATATCCAACAATGGACAAAGTAAAAAAACAGAAGGCTATCTTCTGTATCAGAGTGAGAGGAGGCTGAGGCTGGCAGCAGGAGCCATCAATGGGCTTCATTATTTTATTGCAGTAGACATTCATAAGAATCATTGCATTCTGTCAAAAAAGTAAGCAGTTTTGTTAATTAATTTCTAATTAAAAAACTAACATTTCCATCAAAAGAAATTCTCTTCTGCATTGTGCACTGACATAAAATATGCAATTCCCCCTTACCATTACAAAGATAAAATCTCCCAGTCCCAYCACATACCTAGTTGCATTTGACAGTCCAGTCAATACACCTCTTCCAAGCAAAAAATACTTGAGCTTATAGACGTAAGCAAAAATGCCTTATCTTAAAACAGGAAGGTTCTTTCTACTGGCTGTAGAAGGTCTATAAATGAACAACAGCTCACAAAGCTTGGTCCTAAAAGGACATGGTAACACAAGTCTCTAAAACATGACAGTGAGACTGAGACATGCAGTGAGATGACATTTAGTCCATCCTGTACTTTAMAGCAACTGAAACCTGAAAAGGAGTGGAACCAAAAGTGACATGGGACGGCTCTTTCACAACAAGGGCAAACTGAAAAGTTCAGAGGGACCCACTGCATGCATATACGTATTGTTTAGCAAAAAAAAAAAAAAGTCAGAGGCACTCCATGCAAGCAGAGAGGTCTGTTTGCAAGCAGAGAGTATAGGTTTGTTATCTTCTTCACACTCCACCAAACCAAATTTTCTGCACACGTACAGGAAAAGTTAAGACTTCTTAGTACTGCTTTACAAGTCATTACCACCTTAACTTATTCATATACATGAAAGCATGAAGTTTGCACTCAGGATCCAAGAGATCTAGCAGATTAACAGCTATTTTAAAATAGTTATGCACTAATGTGTTTGCTATTATGTTTTTTAAAATGCCTATAAAACTGACTGCAGTTCCACCTACAGAGATTTTCTTAACAAAATTCCCTGACAAATGCAGTACTCATTGTATTTCTACTGYTGGCAATTTCAGAACATTGATTTCACACCTTGTTTTATTATTATTAATTTTAATGTTGACCAGTGATAAAAACACTTACTGTATCTCTGCTTGATTCAGGGAGATGCAGGCCATCTGCAGACTTCATGATAGTTTCTTGTGCTATCAATTTTGATACACTGAACACTTTAACTTTAGCTTTGGAATTTCGRGAGCTGCTGTTCAGAATACGAACAGCTGCATCATTATAAGCATCTATTTTCTCATTTGTGATCATTTTCCGACTTTCACTCAGTATATCTTCATAAACAGGATCTGAATTTGAAAGGACAAAGAATGAGCACATTAGTCTTCTACTTGTCAAAAAGTTTCCTTAGCTCAAGTTACATGGTCTACTATCATTTAAGAGGTCACAATGGTTTAATTGTACAGAAAAAATGTTCAGCAAGGAATAAATGAGAGTTACTAGAGTTGTTCATGATAAAGTGCTCTTATCACCATTCCCTATTAATGCATATGTTGGTCAGAAAGCTCAGGCCAGACATGARCGCTTGTTTTATTTCTCTGAACCAGGAAAAGCACTTAATGCTGGAGTGCAGAGCTGCTTTCTCTCAGCAATGGAAGTTCCCAAGAAAAGATTCCAAAGGAAAGAGGGCAGAAGACAAACACCAGAATAGACATACGGAAAAAAATAAATAACATTCTCAAATCCTCTAGTTTCTGTGGAAAACAACCAGCTCCTCRTTTCTCTTAAGTCACAGGCCCTAAACGTATTCCACTTGCTCCTGTTGATTCCAGTTTAATTGATCAAAGTATCTCAGTTTTACAGAAAAAGGGGCTGACTTAATTGCCAACAGGCTTAGAAAGTGATAGAGGGCTCTAGATCAAAAGGTCAGCTGGAGGTCATTAAGTTCCTGTGAAAAGCCATTGTGTGACACACTCTGTGAGATGCAGGTTGATTTACTTTAGCTACCTCATGCCTATGTTAGGATAATCAGTGTCTAGACAACTCTGTGTACAGACTGTTACTCCTCCCTTTCGGGCCATTAAAGAGCTCAGAGATTACTCAAACAGACTTGATCTTTAGCAATAGGATGGTGGGACATGTCTGACAGAAAATTGCTTCCGGTACAAATAAATATGGTTTTGAAATGAATGGGAGGAAAKCGATTTGTTGATTCAGATTTTACTCTAGAACCATATTGATAGGATGTGACTGTAAGGGTACAGCTGGGTATATATATTGCTAATAGGACCCAAAATCTGCCTCTGTTTCTAAATAAGGTGATGATAATCTAAAATGCTGTACTCTGTGGCAGAGAAACCAGAAGCACATTYTACCTATGAGCTCATTGTTCAGTTTCAGGGAAATATTTCCTTTTTATTCATGAAAAGCAAAACAGTGTAAGCTTAGTGCCATAACAAAAATCTCACTGACTCATTGTGAGCCATGATTTCCTATCACAATGTAGAAAAGCAAGTTTCATTCTAGAGACTTAAATTCTCTGTATTCTCAAGAGTGTGCCCATTCTAGACAAACACAGAGGACAACTTGTTCAACCTCTCCTATTATTAATATAATCTGAAAGTTCATTGGAGCAAAACCACAGGAATACTGCTGTTGCCTGCACTTGTAGTCTTGACTCCCAGGAGGTATGCATGGAGCACAGCACAGGGAGAGCAGTCCTGGCATGTTGAGTCTGAGAGYAAATAACAAAGAACTAAGAGTTCATAAGGCAAAAGCTTTTCCTGCTAGAGCTTTGAAATCTCTATCCCTAGTAGCAGCTATGTAGGTATCAGCTTAGTTAAGGCTGCAAGAAAGGACAGGCTAAAATTCAACCAACATCTTTTTCAGTCTGCAAGTAAGCAGCWTGGATTAAGTTTTCCATATCCTACAATATACTGACTCAACAGACAGYGATAGTACAAATTGTTACCTACTGTTCATTACTTTACCTTGTAAGACCCAGTAAACATCACTACTTATTGCTAATTTTTCCAAAAGAGGTGCAATTGAAGTGATATTGATTTTATATTGTGCAAGGGCTTCGTTGCTGCCATTGTGAATCTTGATAGACCACTGGAGAAATAAARAAACAGGTATGTCTGAGGACACTTAATTAATTGATTCCCTTGCTGTGTTAGTAGCTATTTTTCATTATTTCTATACAGGTAGATTTCTTCAGTTTTCTATTCAAAAGTGCGAAAGAATTTCTTTCGGACCAAGCAGCTGTCTAGACAGATAATTACATTAAACCAGATCATCTAAATACACAGTATTTAACATTCAATTTACGTGTATATTTGACTTCTCCTAAATTAAATGACACAAGATGTTTTAATTCAAAGTCTCTTGGCTTTATGCAACAATGAAGTAGCAAATCATGGCCAGTTCAATCAATTCCACTCTAGAAAAACTGACCACAGCAAGAGATGCATGCAAACAAAACGTGATGGTTGATATCAAATTCCACTGTTTCCATCTGTTTTGCATATATTCACAAAAGAAAAAGAAAAGAAAACAAAACCAAGAGCCATTTTAATTTTAGTTTAATCTCCCATAGGAAATGACTGGGAGAATGCTATAGCCACACAAGAATTCCTCCTAATTTTTGAAAATAATTTCCCACACTGTATGAAAAATGGATGTAGCATTTTTTAAAGTGTTACTGTATCTATACTTAGTAAAAGCTGAAAAAAGCAAAACCAAAACAATTACCCTAAATGTAATAAACTCTAATTATTTCTAAATRTGTACATAAAAAAATTATTGTAAGCTAAGTACACTGATTAATGCACTTCCTGAAAATATTATTCAATATAAATTAATACTTCATGGAACCAAATAACATACAGCTGGCTCTGAGAACTTACACTGGAAAAAAAGAGCAGTTTCTCCCAGCAGTCAAATTATTATGAAACACCAACAGTATTGAACAGACAGTTAAAGCATCACATTCCATACAAAGGAGTCAGGAWCTAAGAAGCAGTGCACTGTACTGATATTCTTAGAGAAGTTCCCTTTCCTAAAAGAAGCAAGCAACTGAGTTTTGTATGAGCTGGAGTTTCTCCAGCTTTTAAGACTTTTTACTTCTATTTATAAATTGTTAGACAGCTGACATCTTAAGACAGACATGTCCAGGCCAAAGTAGCATGACCAACCCAAGAGCTAAGTTAAAGAGAGAGGTGAATTTCAAAATGCTGCAAAATCCAAGAGCACACACCAGGTTAATCTAGTGGCAGGTTACCACACCAGTGTCAGCTGTGGTGAGGTTGCTGATATGTCTGATTTCTGAAGCTTTTAATTTTTTGGAAGTCCTGTAAAATACAGGATGCTTATCTTTGTCCAACTCTAGATATTAAATGTTTTGTGTAAATATATAGTAGTGTCAAAAAGAGCAGAGACTCCCCTGCATATTGTTAGTTTACATTTATTGCTGTCCACAAAAGGCCAGGAGCTATGGCTAATGTATACATATGAGTAAAGGGAATTATTTAGCTAAGTTTCCTGTAGTTTTACAACCTGACTTCCTGCATGCCAGAATGTTATCCATATGTAATGGCATTTTCTGTATGAAATACCATGACTCATCCTAGTAATAAATGCTATCTTCTCAGACTGAGAAGAGGTATTCTAGTCTTATTCCTAAAGTTCAAATATTTATGTGGATCCTACAGAGGAAGGGAATTTAGGGGTTCACTTAAAAGAAAATGAGAATTTTTGATCCCTCAGGAAATGTGCGGAGGTCTACATACACACGACTTCCCTTAAAAATTGAGGGAACTCATCCTTAGATGGGCATGCCCAGAAGTTTCCAGATTGGTCAAGTACCTCAGCTATCCCTAAACCAGAGCTTGTCAGCCCTGTATTCTGTGATGCTACAGTGCATAGCAGTGTTGGAATCTTCCACTGGAACAAGATTCAGGAAAAGCAATCTCTTTGGTTGTTGAATTATTAATGTAAAATTACAATTTTTAGCCATATATACAATATATATAACAAAAAAGTGTGGTCAAAGAGACCATCCCAGATTGGCTCAAGCTCAAAAGCAGAATTTTGTGACTGAAAAAGGTGTATTAAAAATACACCCCAGTTAGTATACAAATACTTTATTTAACTTCTAAGATTAATAAGCTGCTTTTAATTAAAACCAGTTTATTAGCTAGGTTAAAGCTAATCAATGCTTATTAATCAGTACTGTTGACAAAACAATAAGTACTGTATATCACACAGCAATAATAAAGTGTAACTGATATCTTAAAACTACTTTTTGTAACAGCAAATTCACTGAGAATAGGTATTTTATTATAAACTGGRTTTAACAACTTGATCATGTAACCAACTTGAGAACATTAAAGTTATTCTACAAGAACTTCCTTCCTTAATAAAATCCCCCATATAYGTATAACTTACCGTGGCAGCTCCTACTACAATTATATGAGGTTTTGCCACAGGACCCTAAGACACAAAAATAAAAACGAATTCATTCTAAAATATTTGTAAATTATTATTMAGATTCATATCTTAATTAACTGTGACTCATTTGCTCAATGGTTACGAAAGAGCAGACTGCAGATACATTACAGAGAACATATACCTGATACATGTGAGATACCTGAATTTTCACATAATATAATCTACAAAAGCGTGAAGTATCAATAAGCACCTACAATCATGATCAATTTAGCAGCGTAAGTTCTCTTTAAAAGCAATTTAAAATCTTCTCCTAAGGTCAAGTAAACTGTAGATCACACTATTGAACTTTTCATCTCAGCACTGCTATCAGAGCTGCTCTATTAACCATTGTTACCCCAGAGGTCTGCCACTTCTGTGTAGGACAAGGACCAGTGTATTGAAACAGAAGAGCACAAGGAAGCAAACAGTCCTGAGCAAACAGTATGAGTTTTATCCTGGCACAGCAAGGAAAATTAGCAGCTCTCAATTGTTGTAGAAACCAYAGAAAAAGAAAACCAAATGATAACTTCAGCTATCCTGATGGAAGGTGTTGTGCAAGAATGATCAATAGGAAAGCAAAAGAATCACCATGGGCTACTATTAAAAAACTCCAAGCTATTGAAAGATCAAYGAAGGAAGAAACAAGAAAAAATAGTTGCCAATCTGTAAATATATTACTTTTGTCAGAGTTACATACAGAATAACATGACAACCTGCATCACACCTGAAACATACAAAATAATTAGTTGCTAATTGAGGGAAATACTGAAAAAAATAAAACCAAGGAATTCTTGACTTTGCAAACTACCTTTGTCCTTAAGTCTGAAACACTCAAATTAACACTAACACAAAAACATGGAATCCTAGTAATCTCAAACTGTAATGGACCCATAAGGATCAAAATATTTGTTGACTTTAAAGTGGTGCCATTGCAGCCACAGAGGAAGTAAAATGCCAAACTAGACTGAAATTGTTTTAGCCCTTAATAGGATGAATTAACCTGCTCCTAGGATGTAGGGTTTTCCTAGTTTGCTTAAGGGCTTTTTTTGGTCCAAGTGATACCATCATTGGAGATATTCAGAAACATGTACACCAGTAAACAGCCCCTTTTCACGACTCTGAAGACAAATYTTAGATCTCAAATTTTCGTTAAAACAAACCTCAGTCCAAGATTTGATACGTTGCCTCATAGAGCCATTAACTTCTGGATACCATAGAAAATCCTGCAAAATAAAGGAAGAGTTACTCTGAAAACTTAAAAGACAATCAGTAGACCAAAACTAAAAAATGCAAAAAACCAAATTAATTTCAACTCAATCCTGAAAAACATTTGGCTCAGGGTGTGATTTCCTTTATAGTTAGCATGTAAAGATTGACAWCTCACCCTAGGATGGAAAACAAAAAGCCAACAAACCCACAGAACTTTTCCCTCATGAGAAACTAATTTTTACCTGTTTCCAGGAGCTGGAATTTCACCATGAAGATAATTTTYAATGTATACCAAAGGGGATGTCCTTTGGTTTCCAATGCAATCCAGGGATAAATCCAAGGTCACATCTATAACTTACTAGAACTTGCTTTTTACTCAATTTTGCCCATTTTTACCAGCTGGTTTTCTTTGTACCAAAGCTTAAAATAATTGATAGCATGAAACCATAATTTTTAAACAAAACCAAAACCTAACAATTTACCTTAAAACTTCATAAATTATCAGCTGTTTAAACCTAATAGTGTTGTAGCTATTAAACACATTACGYACCAGCATTCTTTAAGTTGCCAGGAGCAGTGCTCAACTTTCATCTAGAAGGACAATCTAGACTACTGCTATTACATCTCCCTGGTAAAGCCATGACTTCCTAGTATTTAGTTACTCTTTAGGACAGCACTACTGCATAGCCTAAAAATACCTGTTAAAGTGAAACGGCAGGGACTACGCATGGAGAAACTATTGTGAGGAAACTTAGTAGAACAGAATGCTGAAACACTATCAGCAGAAAGGAAATCTCTCTCTTCCACTCCCCTGGACTGTTAGATTTTAGTAGTTTACTTGAGTACTGTCAATTCATTATTTTTCTGTGGAACCTGTGAGCAACCACTCAGTCCTCTGCAGTGGCTGAAGGACAGAAGAGTCACTGTGATAACTAGAAAGGGCAAAATTAAACTCTTCACTTGTTCTCAGTAATTTTCTCTTTTGTTGGTCAAGTATTTTCCACATTTGGATTATTGCATCACAGCCAGTCCGAATGTGGAAATCGAGCTACCATGCCAATAATGTCAAAGAGCAATACTGCATCAAAACAAGGAAGCAACAGACTGGGAATATATTCTTAACTACCCAGACATCTCCCAAAAGCACCTTCCTGCCATCTCAAACCTTGGTGGTTGGACACCTACTAAGGCTTAAGGAGTTTTGAAATTGTGATCCTATCAGGCCAACCCAATGCAAATCACACTGCATGAGCCCCTAGTCCTGCCTCGTGTTCTGTCCCATCTTTTCCAGCATTCAGAAAACCACATGATGAGCCACATCASACCTGATCAAAAAGGAATCCTATAAAGCAACTTTTTGGCTGAATTGCCTCCTGAAACAACCCACTCCACAGCGTGCAAGTACTAGTTACAGCACAAACACAGGAACATACTGTGAAGGGCAACAGAGTGGGTCAGCACACGCTTAAATTGCCATGGGTTTACACCCTAAAATGTTATTCCCTATCCTTAAAATCTTAACCATGTACACAAACAGGTACTGAAAAGTCACTTTCACACAACCCAGTAAACACACTGCTTCTTTGGTTTTGGTGAATAGAGAATGAGTTTTCTTCAGRGCATAAATAAATACATGACTAGCACAATCCCAGCACTGCTGACAGCTGTCATGGGAAGCAAAGAAAGCTATTGAGGACAGCATTTCCATTGCCAGGGCAGAGAGAACAGAGCCCTTCAGAAAAAACTAGCCTCAAGTACTTTGTTTGTTTTCTTTTTTTAAATATCCACATTATAATCAACATTGTGCTTATTTCTCCATGCAAAAACAGTGGAAGGAATATGTGTTGGGATAGCACAGAAAACTCAATGGCAATTACAATTACTCATCCAAGAAGTTAGACCTAGCTACATATTCTTACAGCACGGAAAGAGTAAACTCCCTGGCAAAAACTATTCTTGGGAAGGCCAAATTATAAGAGTCGACAAAAAGAAAAATTATAGACCGCTCCAGAGCTTATGCCCAAAACTAAGCCACAGTACAAGTATTCCTGCCAAATTCTCTCAAAATATTCTGTGTTAAGATACACTCTGAAATATCTGTAAAGAACATTGATGGTCTTAACTTTCTTTTGAATTTTCAGCTCTGACTGAAATTTCAATCATATTGTATGATATAATAACATGATCATGGTTTAAAATTTAATGCCAGATAAAAACTTACCACTTTAATTGAAGCAGATTTATCTTCAAATGGGATATTTCCATGCTGTCAAAAAAAAAACCCCAAAACAATAAAAACAAAGTAAGAAAAGCTTTCAGAATGGAAACAAAATATTTACATACCTATGCTATCTTWCTCTCACCCAAAGGTTTATTTTCAGTGGAACGGATTTTTCTTGTATAAACTTGTCAGGGTACTCACGCAAAATATTTATGCTATTTTCTTGATAAAACAAGCTACTAAAATAAACAGTTTATTTTTCCTGGAAGAAATCTAGCCAACAAAGTCTGAAATGCTTTTTATTTGCTCTATTACAAAGGTATCAATTATTTTCCTAAATTTAGCCTCCCAGCATAAGAAAAACTTAAGACWTTTTCCTCTACATGTTCTTACACTACCTTTCTCCAGCCTTCCTTTTCATCTKCCCACCTCCTTTGCACAAAACAACCACCACAGTTTTAGAATAAATCAAAATAATTTCAGTCAGAAATAAAATCTGGAAGGCATTGTTAAATTTTCTGAGTGAAAAATGTAAGGAATCASAAAGGAAGGAGTCAGATATGTAAATGCAATCCTTTTTTAAAATTATTAAATACAGGATTAATTTCAATCCTGGCACATAAGAACAAGCGTACTTCTCCAAACTGAGATCTTGATTTCAGTAACACTTGACAAAAGATACTCTCAACTCCAATTCAGTTACAGCACTTTATCATCTCACCATTACTTTTGGGCAATAACAGTGACCTAACCAATTGACTAAGAACACCAGAGTTCTTGGATCAATCAAACRTGTTGTTTTGACAAGTGGAAGTGACTGCATGCTGAGTATTGGACAAGCTGCCAGCTTGCACTTCTAAGTGACAGAATTACTAAATAATTGACAAATCTGATGTACTGTTAAAAGTGAAAGGTGTCTTTTCCATCACATATGTACATTCATCTATGAAGCCATGTGCCTAAGAATTATGATATAGCAAAAGAAACCAATGTTTTGTTCAACAACTGATGCAGCTAAATCCTTTCTTCCTCCTTCCACCCAGCTGCAGTTTGGATGCTTCACCTTACAAAATTCAGACAGCTTTTCATCAGTGATCAAAAAGATGGTAATACCTGAAGCTGTTTTTASTTTCAGCTTCAAGTTAGACCTGGAAATCTGTCATTGCCCCAAGGATTTTTATGAACAGATTAGATCAGTAATTTAACTGACATTTTAAATGACAAATTATAAGACACGAATTACTACTATTTAAAAACACACAAAGGAGCAATCATCTTCTCATCAAGAAACCAAACATGAAGCATAAATTGCTATGGGACAAGTCAGCTTCATTAATTTATTCCCAGGCTGCCGCAAGCTTTCTCTTGAACTTCCTAGTTCTCAGATTCACAATTATCTAATCTGTACCCAAACAGTTATTTTGATCTAATCTTCTTCTTCTTCAAAAGACCTTTCTGTGCTTCTTCTTCCTGATTGCTAGGCCACCAAAAAAATATAATTTGCTTTTTTGACATTTATACAAGAATTATAAGGTAAATTGGGAAGGAAGAAATGAAAAAAACAGTCAAAATAAGCTATCTCACCTTAATTCCCTCTTCTTTGACTTGAGGATTTATGAGTTTTATAAATGAATAGAACAGCTGTCGAATTCTAGAATCTCCTATAAACACAACATGTTTGTCTATGAGGCAATTTTTYGCTTCACTGTAAAACAAAACAGCAACATTAATGTTACAGAAAAATTATATCTTAGAAAATAGTACTCTGAAAATACATGGAGATATCTATATAATTCTAAACGCTAYATCCAACTCTATGGCATGGTAACTTTTTAAAACGTGCTGAATTAACAAAAACTTAAGGCAATTTACATAGAATTGAAAATTAATTCTCCTACTAACATGATYAGGCAAACAACCAAGCAAGTTTTTCTATTATGTGTGCTACAAACACAGTAGTTCAAAAATGGTAATACACAGCATAATTCTACAAAAAAAACAAACAAACAAACAAACAAAAAAAAAACCACCAACAAAAACCAGTTCTTTTACTAGGAGGTGAAAAAAACTGATTGGTAATTTTATCTGGGAAATTTTCACTTGGAATCTGACACATAAGGTCAGCAATCTGAGAGTGACATACTCAGCCTCATGTGGTTCTCCATAACTTGTGCCAGTACCTCTAKCTCCAACATTTATTTGTATTTTTATACAGAAATGCACAGTAAACACTACAGAAACACAGATAAAGTAGGAAAAGACTTATTTCTAGTAAATGTTTTGTATTTTTGAAAGCCTAGAGAATCAGATATAAAGYGAACAATAGATGACACTGCAATTACTACAGCTGCAGTCAAACAATGACTCTTCCTTCCAGTTGAACAGAAGACATGAGTTTCCTTACCTATTTTTATACTTATGCATCATACAACTGTGAGGTTGCCATACTTTTTCTCCAAGAAATCTCCCACTGGACAGAAGATACTCACATGTATCGCCACCTTTAAAATGTTATATTAAGATCAGAATTCAGACACATGAAATGTAAACCATAGCCCCATTGCTATTATGAAAAACAATTTGACAATATTTGAAAAGCAGAAATTGAAACAATCAACAGCAGTAAACAAATTTAACTGACTGTAAATACATCTGGCACAAGTTTCTACAAGCTTCCTTCTCGCTGATTATATAATACTGTTCTGTAAATCCCACCCCATCCACAAAATGTTAGTGATCCCAGTTTTGCTGTCAGAAAGACAYTGTGACTTAGAATGGCATTTCTTTTAAAAGATGCCAATCCACTCTGCTATTATCATCCAAAATAACTAATATGAACTTAAAGAATACAACCGTTGAATAATCTACACAGAATCATCACACATAGCATCTTGTATACAACATAAAACTCATCACAATGTTTGTTACATCTCCCTGTTAAAGACATATGGTCACGTGGTAACCTTAGAACAGATTATATGGGTTAATATGCAAAAAAAACCCCAAAACGTTTACATGACAATTTGCTGATCATTCTGAACTGCACATTTCTTTTCTAGTCATTAAATTTTATGCTAATTAAGATTAATAACTTTACAGGTGGTGATGTTTCAGGTCATGTTAGGTTTAAAGTATGTTATGAAATTAGTGACTGCTATCTTTCCAACTCCATGTCAGATTCTGCTGCCTTATAACTGAACACCATTCACTGAAACGGAAGTTGCTCTCCAACATTTTTCTCATACTTGGCATTTCCGAGCACTGACAAACAGGGAAATGGTTGTGAATGAAATGGCAAGGACTTGTTCCAGCTTGTGCAGAAACAATGTACCAGTGCCTGTACCTAACACTTTCTGTGAAACCTTCATTAAGCTCAGTTTATGCTTTGGTTTTCAAGCAACACAATTTCTCTGGTTCTCCAACTTGCAAATTCATGTAAACTACCATTTCGAGTAAGTTGCATAAAAATGAAACTGCCAGAAATAATGAAAAAGGTAATCCAATCAAAAGCAACATGAGTTTGATAATGAGGTGACTTACGAGTTATTACTGACAAAAAGTCCTCCACTTTGCAGAYGATGACAACTAGGAGGTGTATCAAAGTGATATAAGAGTGAACTGTGTAAAAGAATAYCCATGACTAATCAAGACTCCCTCTGACATCCATTAACTTGCTGAGAAAGATGCATAAGAAAATAAGGACAGTAATTCATGGTCAGACCAATGGTCAGTCTAATCTGCTATTTTGTGTTAAACAGGGGCCAGAAGCAGATGCTCAGAGATGAATAAGAAGAGGGCAACTAAACATGATTTCTTGCCTAATAYTSTTCCAAGTRTGTTCGATCCAGGGACTTACTGAACTGGACATGCAGTCTTCAAGTTTTTAGTACCCACAGCATCCTTCCACAAAGTTTTCCATATGCACAGCTGATGCTTGAAGAATCATCTGCCTTTATCTGAAATATGGTTTCTACTAGATTTACTTGGCATYCCCTGTTCTTCCATGGGACAAGGTAGTATGGACTTATGTATGGTCATAATTTTTAAACCACTATCAATTCTTTCTCAATCGAGTTTTCAAGATTAAGGACTGGAGGATGTCCTTAATCTTGAGTTCATAACCCAAGCTTGGTACCTCTGTACTCCATGGTCTTCCCACCATAATAATTGTCCATAAATAGAAAAATCCTACAGTATGTTCACTGATGTAACATTCCAAATGTCACACACATTTGAACTATAGAGACAATTTCATGTCAAGGGGTTATGCCTTCTTTCCCAACTCCAGGTATTGATTATCTTACTATTGTCCTGAGCAATATTAGAAAGCTCCTGAAACTCCTTAGAAGCATTACTGATGTTTGACATCTTCCTTTAAACATAACAAGAGAAGTTAGAGGGAGACGATGAGGGAGGGGAATAAACAAGACTGGAATAGCAGCCAAGAGAGTAAACTGGAGGTTACAGACCAGGCAGTGCCTCCAAAAACGCTCAACTCTGGCTTTAGCAGATGAAATAGCAGCCAAAGAACTATGCTCATTTTAACACATCACACCTAATTCGTAACCATCAATGAGATCTGAAAAGAAAAAAACCTAACAAACAAACAAACAACAAAAAAATCCAACCAATAAACCAACCCAAAACGTGAAAAAAAGAATTCCAAGTGGTATTGTATACACAAAACAGAGTCCATTCTTTTAAAACTCTTTMTTTGTGTAAATTATTCTTCCATAACATTATCTTTTATGCTCACTTAGATGAGCTACTACATTTACTACACTATATTTATACAAAGTATGCAATTTCTCTGAATTTTTTATGCTCATTATTCTAACTTATCATTCCTCAGACTTGTGGTTTGAGGTATTCCACTGAAACTGTGAAATCTCAAAGTCTTCATTCAGCACTAAGTTTCACAAAGCTTWCTCTAAAAGGAATATTCTCTTTTTTCAATGAGACAGAAATTCAATTGTTCTCTACTATTAAAAGAAAAAAAAAGTAGTTTTAAACGGAATCTACTATTGCTCTTTTTTAAGAATACAATATTTTAAATAAAAGCTTATTTCCAAAAAGGTTTAGGACTGCACCTTTGAAATATAACAACTGAAAAACACACAGCAGTAACTTCACTGSTTAGTAAGTAAACATTCAATTCACTTAACACTTCACAAGTTAAAGACAGTCTGTTCCTTCTCTTATCTCACACACTTTTGCAAAAAAAAAAAAAATGTAGGCGACCCCTAAAATTTGACAGYGTCCCTGAACATGAATCTGGTCTTCCACAATCCCAGTTCAGCATTTTTTCATACAAGTAAATTTTACACAGGCAAGTTTGACTGAGAAGTACACTGGGCTGCTCCTATCTATAACATATATTTGTATGAGGCCAAAATTAGCTAAAATCTTTACATGTAATGACAATCAGACAAATAAGAAAGTATAAAAGCACAACAAAYATAGCAATGCCTTCTGTGACATGGTCTGGCTTTCACAGCCTGGCAACTTTGAGCCTKTTTACAGCCCCGCCTTATCCACCCTCTGAAATCAGGATAACCCTTTTTGGAACACTTTTGGTATAAATCTTGGTATATAATGTCTTATGTGGAAAAGAGAGTGCTTTCTTGTGATAATTTTAAATGTATTGACAGCTATCTTAATTTTTCAGTTGATAGTTTTTATGTTACAACACAGTAACAATCCATTTACCTTCCCCCAATAATTCCTAATATTTGACACCATTACTAAGTTTTTTGTCCAGGCTACAGAATTTTATTCTGTTGCATTATTTCTCGTAGAGAAGTTGTTTAATTCTTCTGCCGTTTGTGTTGCTCTTTTGTACATGCTTTCCAAGTTCTATTATACCACTGCTAAGAGGGGGTGACCAACACCACTAAGTGAGGTGCCAGTTAGCTTTAGCTGTGCAGTATCAGTGAAAACTTCTGGATTTTTCATTAAGTGTCAAAAGTATKGGGCCATTTGCTGAATTTCAACTGTTTGATATCTATCACTGCAGGTTTGCAGAATGATGTCTCTGGTAAAAGCACCTCTGCTTTTATCTATCCTAAAACTTTCTCTGCCATAAATTTTCTACCCTCCTTTTCTAAACTGTTTCTTGGAACATTGCACGTTCATAGAAGCCCAAACTGGTAACTCTGTTTTCACTATGACTCCATGTCTTACCATTTAAACAGTTATGGGAAAACCTCTCCCTTACCCTGCAATTGCTTCAAGAAACCAAAAGCCTCAGGTGAGAAGCCTTGGAAGGTTTGCAACAATCCATACAGACCATATCAATTTACATAAAAGCCGTCAGCCTCTCACCGTTTTGCAATCTATGACTCACCTYGCCTCATTACGTCTCCCAGAATATACTGAAATTATGCATACTTTATTTCCCTTGTAACCTGTTTGACATAGCAATCCCTATTTTCTTAGTSTTATAATCCCTCTTTAAATATTTGCCACCTTCCTCCTATCTAGTTTTGTGATTCTCTTGGGCCTTAAGGGACACTACACAACAGACAAGTTCAATTACCTCATGCTTGAGCTACTCTAGAATCCAGTAAATGCTTCCATGTCTTCCAATTTAATACTAGTCAGTTTATCAGACTGACATGCCAGCTAGAGGGTGAATCTTAGCAATAGTATACATAAAGTTCCCTACCCCTTTTCCCATTTCCACAATGAACTGCCTCAGCCTTGTCTTCCATGRATGCTGGCAGCCAGTGTTAGAACACGACACGAGTTATCCCACTACAAACAGAGCCGCGGTAATCTCCCTACAGATCAACTTTTTGATTTACCCACAAAAACACACCACATTTTTTAGCGTGACACAGAAACAAGTAAGTATCTCCTTCAGCATTTCCATCGGCATTTACGGATCATGCCACGATTCTCTGCTTCAAGGCCAAAACAACCCTAGCGAGGAGGAAGGAGCCGAGTTCCCAGCTCCCCGTAACCGAGGTGCGTCCATGCACAGCCGGTCACGGCCACGGCTGCGCTCGGTCCCCAGGGCTTGGCTACTGACAACACGTGAAACCAAACAGCTCTTCACTTCATCCACCAGAAAGGCTGGTTTCGTTATAACTGAGGCGATGATTCAAACAGTGAAACAACATAYATCAAATCTCGTACCAATTAAGACTTTTAACCACTAATTGCCAGGTAATTAGTCATTAATCATCCCGTAGGGGAACAAGTGATAGGGAAGAAGACACCCCCCAAGCCCTGCAGCTTCACCTGCCGCAGGCCGAGCCCCCGGAGCAGCGCCGCTTGCTCCCAGCGCAAACACCGCATCGCCACCGCCCCGCCAGCCTCGCTCGCCCCCTCCCTCCGCGGGGCCTCGCCCGGCCGGCGGAGCCTGCGGCGACCCCCAGGCCGGGCCCCCGTCTCTGCTGTCCCCAGGGTCGCGTCCCGCGGTGGCCGGCGACTCGCCTGACGCTGCCCACACGGCCCGGACCCGCCGCGGCTGCCGCGGGCGAGGGGACCCGCCACCCTCCCTGCCCTCCCTGCGCGGCCGCGGTTCCCCAGCGCCGCCGGGGCTCCACCGGGGCTCCGCCTCCCCTGCCCGGCAGCCGCGGCCCCCCGCGGAGCGCCCGCGGCCGCCCCCTCACCTCGGTAGCGGCGGGAGGCGGCGTGGCAGGCGGTGAGGAGCAGGACGGCGCCCAGCGCCAGCGCCTTGGCGCTCCTCACGCTGAAGTAGTAGTTGATCTCCCGCTTGCCCCCGGTGTAGGCCAGCGCCGCCATCTTGGCTCCTCCATGACAACAGCGTGCGATGGAGCGGGCGGGCGCGGCGGGGCAGCACTGGGTCCCCGCCGGCGGCCAACGCGGACCCCGCCGCTGCCGCCGTCCCCGCCGCCGCGGCCGACAGCAGCCCCACACCCCGCGGACGCCGGGGCGGAGCCGGCGCCCCTCTCCTGGCGCCGCCGCTTCCCCTCGGCCGCCAGCGGGTGGCCCCAGCGCTCACCTCCCCGCCCCGCGGCGCCGTGGGGATGCGGCGGCTCCCGGTGGATCCCGTCGTGCTCGCTGAAGGGTCGGCGGGGAGGTGGAGACCCCGCTGGGACTGTGAATGAGGAGCTGGGCCAGGGTCTGTGCCGCACACGGTCCGGGACAACTGGCACTGGAGTGAAGGCTTCCTTCCAAACAGTGCGATTTTAAAACACTTACCACTTCTCCATTGACAAGGAAATGGTAAGGAAAAGGGCGCTGTAAAAGGAAGCTTTCTGTGACACACTATCAATTAGGTTGGAAAAGATCCCTGGCATCTTCAAGTCCAACCTATGACCGAACACCACCATGTCACCTGGACCGTGGCACTAAGTTCAAGGAAAGACATCCAGTCTTTGCTTAMACACCTCCMGGGATGGTGATTCCACCAGCTCTCCGGGCAGGTTACCTTTTCTCTGAAGAAATTACCTTTTCTCTGAAGAAATTCTTCCCAATGTCCAACCTAAACCTACCGTGGTGCATCTTAAGACTGTGTCCTSTCATCCTATGTTTATTTGCCTGGGAGACGAGGCCACCCCCCACAGATTTACCAGAGTTTGGGGCATGCATGAAATGATTGCTGAAATCAATCTGCTAAGATTTACAAAATGGAAATTCTGCTCCTGCCCAAGCAGAGGTGGGCTGGAAATCTGTGGTGGGGCTGGAAAGCAGCTACCAAACTGACCAGGCCCAGAGCAGGGCAGGCTGTCACTGAAAAGACATTTCCACAAAATAAAGTAACCATGTATAAACCGTATAAACAAATCTAAAACTTAGGAAATGTGTGCAGTATGTAGGCACATAAAAATGGAAAATGAATATTGGAAATAAACAGCGAGCATTCATCAAACCCTGGGTGTGTGATGAGGTACATACTGTGCTAGACAGATTCCCTCAGATCCAGCAGAACTCTTTTCATTAGGACTGGCCAAAAAA